GCTTTTATCCACTTAATGAAATGTTCGTCGATCCCGGTTATATCTTTAACTATCTTCCTCTCGAATACTCAATCGAGGAGTATATCCAGTTCATCGAGGGTAGTTATGAATAACGAGATGCGTTCATTAATAAAACTTACTACCGAGTCAATATAGAACAAGCGATGTATATTAACTTGATAGTAGCAATAAGCTTAAGATGAAAACGATTGAGATTGATAACCTCAACACAAACGGTTTATTGGTTTAATCAATATAATTAATTCCCCTCGGTTTATTAACCATGAGAAGCATGCATTAACAATCCAAGTTTACTACCATTGAAAGAGCCGAATTAATAACAAGCGTATTAACCGATTGATTCTAGTAATAATTAATATATGAAACAATACTAATTGATCCTTTAAGTAATGCTCAAAATATTAATATGGAATATGAATAGGAAGTACTTAATATTCAAGGAAGAAGATTAAAGAAAATAACTCACAACTTACAAATCATTAAGCTTCAAAGTAGCAAAACCAAGATGGAAGAGTTTATGTGACACCGCACCCGAACGTCCTTGAAAATTTAAATTTAAAAATTTGAATTTTATGTATTGAATTTCTGATTCCCAAACAATTGTGAAACGATTGTTGTTTTACGTAATTAATGATTTATTATTATACTGTTCGAACTCGTGTATTAGTATCGGGCCTTATTAATAAATAAAAGAGCCTAGCATTTTCTAAATAGTGATACATAACGTTTCAAGACAAGTTGAGGAGGGGCGGGCGGCCCAGATATTATTTTGGGCTCAACCCGCTAAAATAGCAAGTATTCGAGAATGGCGTCGTAGGCCCACTCGGGGGCGACCCACACGGCTTGTAGCCCAATAATATGAATACAAATGTCTATGATACCATCTTTGACATTATTGAGCTAGATAATGGGAGTAAGATTTTCCTTCTATAATGTCCATCAAGTAAATTATTGAGATGAGCCTACACATATTGGAGATCAATAATGTGATGTAGGAAGTTGACTTGTTCTAAATAAATTAGGATGAGTACAAAAAGACATCTTTGACAAAAGATAAATTAATAGGACCCATCTTCCCATTTTTGGGAGTATTGGTAGATATTTTGGACCCCAAAATAATTGGGATCAATTGGGAACTACTCCACATGATTTTAGTACCTGCAAGACAAGAAAAATAAGTGAGGAGACTTACCTTGGCCGCACAAGCTGGAGGAGGGCTGCACAAGACTTGATTGGAATCAAACTTGAGACCCACCTTGTCAATTTCCGCACAAATTATGGGTGTGGTTTGTCTCCCTCCTCAAGGGGAGTTGTACTCGTCCAAATGAGCTGTATAAGGTGTCCTTGGATAGCTTTTGAAGTCTATTTTTATAATTGAGTGGTCTCTGTTCGAGAGGAGAGGGTAATCATCCAAAAATCGATCTGGAACGAGCAGTGGTCTGTGAACTCGAGCTGTGAGAGTGCTGAGACTGTTTGGTTGATATCTCGAGTTTTACCAATCCAATTAAGGCGTGTGAGATACCAAAAGAAAGCTCTCAAGACGAGGAATCCGTGAAGGTCTGGTTTGCATCAATCGGAGTAGAGGAAGGCTTCCAAATCGTCCGAGCAGAACGCGACCTCGCAGGGACGGATTTACTCTTCTAAGTGAGTTTTTAATCCCAAAACCTTTCCATTCATTTTCCAAATGATATGAACGATTGGTGGGACTATTATACACTACTCCAAGTGTATAAAACATCCCTATTAAGTTATTTTATTGATGTAAAGGTTAGATACTAACCTAGATGCAAATATTGGAAAACTAGGAATCGAGTTAGCCGGAAAACACCCGTTCTAGGGGCTGTTTTCGTATCAACGATTAGGGGTTGAAATAGCAACTTGAGGAGGCTGTTTAGCACCCATTTCTAAGCAAGGAATCAATTCTCAAGCTTCCTTGGCCGAGGCTTTGGTCATTGGATCGAGGAGGAAAGTTTTAAAGCTCATTTGAGGTGAGGATCGACATCTAGTTGCTTACAACTTGTAGGTTAAGCATGAGATTACCTAAATGCCTAAATAATGTTTTCCATGGATTATGATGATAAACTATTGATGGAATATTGATCTATTTGCCAAAGAATGAAATGGGAAATGATTTGGTAAAGTATTGATAAAAATGGAGTTAAATGAACTATTGTGTGAAATAGGCATTTTACTCATGTGTGCATTGTGTAGATACATAAATGATTATTTATGTATTACATTGAATGATTAAGTTGCTGCTACATATCTCTAAATATGTAGGGTTTTACAAATGGGATATATGATGGATAAGAATAATCTTAATAGTATTGAAATACTAGTTAATGATTGTTGTAATTGTTAAGGAATCGAATCTATGGATTTGATTGAAATTGATGAACTTGATTGTGATGCAAGTGACTAAATTGATGTAATGTGATGCTAAGACCATGGTTGGGCAGTCCGTAAGGACGTCCCGAAATAGATTATTGATATTACAATTCTAGGCATAGTGAGTGCTTAGGAATTGGGGTCTATGCCAATGTAAGGAGATGTACTTGAGCCGTGCTCATAGAATTGCATTGGGTAGACATGATGAGGTGATTGTAGTGCTTAGGAATTGGGGTCTATGCCAATGTAAGGAGATGTACTTGAGCCGTGCTCATAGAATTGCATTGGGTAGACATGATGAGGTGATTGTTGTGCATGGTGATGTAGTCGAGTTGGACTCGAGAATGCAAACATATGTGTTAGGGTTGAACCCTATGTATTGTTGTGACTAGGGGTCACGGGATTTTGGGGTATGTTTGATGAACAAACCTTGGGCCTATGGGCCGACTACTTGACTTTATATATAAAGTAAGTATATTTTTAAAAAGGGGTAACTTGGGGTTGCGGCCTATATTATACTATCACCCTATTTGAGGGTCTTGTGTTTGAAATACTTGTTGTATATCTATTAGATGCCATCCACACCAGCACTTTATAGCCCTATAGAGTGCTGACCCCTTCGGGGGCGTCCCACCACCATTTTTCAGGTTGAGGCTAGAGCTTGCTTCCTGTGCTCGTTGCTCGAGAGATCATCTAGGAGGGAAGACTTGGTTCGTGCTTCCTCCATTCGGTTTTTAAACATTAACAAACATGCTCATGAATATTTTACTATAGAGCCTGCGTGCTCATGTTAGCCACGTGTGGCATTTGTTTTCAAACTATGTTTTCCGCTACGTATTCGATTGCTTATTATGTTGTTTATGGATGGCTTGCGTGTGAGTGATATTCTAGACTCCTTGTATAATATGAACGTGTTGGACTGCGGTTGACTATTCATATTGTACGGCGGGTTGTCGACGTGTCCGGGGAGGTCCGGGGCGTGACAATTAAGTTGGTATCAGAGCCTTAGTCCATAAACTTCATAATGAAGTCTCAAAATTCTCTTTTCAAAATGATTTTTGAAAACCATGAGCAAAAACGTTTTGTACTTAAGAACTTTTGGTGTTTGAGTTGCAAGGTCTCTAATTGTTAAGATGGCGCCCTTAACGATTGGTATGGCGGTGACTTGGCCCAAGAGATGTCTTAAGTGCCTATCTGTCAGTTGACATTTGAAACAAGTCTAATGACTCATTCTAATTATTTCTTTCAGCGATGGTGGGTGATGGTGGTATTATGAATAGGGAGAACTCGGAAGGGCTTGCACCGGGTGGAACCGGGCATGTCAACCGAGAAAAGCCCTTAGGACCAAAGGTGCATGAAATTCTTGAAGCTCAAATCGTGAGTGGTGGTCATGTTAAGACCAAGGAAAAATCACCTTGTTATGGCAAAACTGAACCACTCAAGGCTTCGGGTGACGAAGGAGATGGTTTGAGTGATGAGGACCTTGATAATGCACCCATTGAACAAATGGGCATGGTCATAAATTGGCTTCAACGTGAACGTGCAAGACTTATACAAAAACGCCAAGCTAGGCAAGCTAAGGACGCACCATTAGGAAGGAAAAGAAAATGGGGAGACCACGACCCCCAAGGACATTCTAGGAGGACAAATGTTGAGGGTGACAAAACCTTCGGGGTACACACATTATCGCTTGGGAGGAGTCGAGGCTCGGGTGGCCAGAACTCGAGGTCAAAAGGTTCGAGAGTACCTAAGTGCACAAATTGTAAGAAGCACCACCCGGGTAAGTGTTGGGACCCTCCTAGGTGCTACCGATGCAGAGAGATTGGGCACACGAATGCGAATTGCCCACAACTTATACCCGACCAAACTTTGGGCTCAAGTAGTACGACTATAGGCATACGGAGTCAAGCCGGGGCCTCTCGAGCAAGTAAGGAACATGGCGGAGCAAGTGTGAGCAACGCGCCGTCCGTGAATCAAGGGAGGACTCAAGCTAGGGTCTACGCGATGACGGAGGCGGATGCTCAAGCTAACCCGGATTCCGTTGCAGGTATTGCCTCTCGTATACTAGTGTTTTACCCTTAATTAATCCATAAATTGAGGTTACTAATCGCTAGGATCATTGCACAAGGTTTTGGGGTCAAACCGGGGGATTTCGGGCAACTTCAGGCGGCTGGGACCCAGGCACGATCGTGCCTAAGGCAGACACGATCGTGCCTCCAAGTCAGTAGCTGCCCAGGAATTTCCCCAGCCCAGGCACGATCGTGCCTAAGGCAGACACGATCGTGCCTACAAGGCAGTAGCTCCCCATGTGTTTCTCCAAACCAGGCACGATCGTGCCTAAGGCAGACACGATCGTGCCTCCAAGGCAGTAGCCCCCAGGGCTTTTTCTTGAGCCAGGCACGATCGTGCCTACCCCAGGCACGCCGTGCCTGGCACCCAGATTGCCGAAATATGATTTTTCGCACCGTTTTGCGACGATAAGACCTTTTCTTGATCCCTAACATGCGTGTGAACATTGTAACCTCCTATAAATGAGTAGGGAGGGTAGGAAAAATGTCTTACATGGTTCATGAATGTAGGGACACTAGAGATTAATGGGAAGGATGCGCGAATCCTTATCGATACCGAGGCGCAACGTTCATTTGTGAATGAAGCGTTCGCCAAGAGGTTGGAGGTGCAATCCGCACCATTGATGCAAAACCTTAGTGGTATCAACACCACTAGGAGATGACGTGGAAAGAACTTGTTATTATCCATCTTGTGGGGTGGAGGTTAATGGTCAAACCTTGACGTGTGACTTCGTACCGCTGGGCATGATTGAATTCGATGCAATCCTAGGGATGGATTGGCTAGAAAGGAACCATGCTAGGGTAGATTGCTACACGAAGGTTCTTGAACTCGAAGGCAATGATGGGGAGACCCTACGCTTCGAGGGCGATCGAGGGAGATCAAATAGCTGTATCATATCCGCCGTGAGAGCGAGAAATATGATGAGAAAGGGATGCCACGCATATCTAGCATACGTGGTTGACAAAACCAAAGAGGAAACGAACATCGATGATGTGAGAGTGGTTTGTAAGTATCCGGATGTCTTCCCTAAAGACCTACCGGGGCTTCCCCCTGACAGAGAGATTGAATTTGTGATCGAGGTCGAGCCTGGTACCAAACCAATCTCCATACCGCCATACCGTATGGCACCCGCTGAACTTAACGAGTTGAAAACCCAATTGCAAGAGCTTTTGGATAATGGTTTCATTAGACCAAGCCACTCCCCGTGGGGAGCACCAGTCCTTTTTGTGAAAAAGAAAGATGGGACACTTCGAATGTGTATTGACTATCGTCAACTGAATAAGGTCACAATCAAGAATAGGTATCCTTTGCCTAGAATTGATGACTTGTTTGACCAACTACGAGGGGCAACCGTGTCTTCAAAGATTGATTTGAGGTCGGGTTACCATCAATTGAAGATTAAGGAAGACGACATACCAAAGAGTGCTTTCCGCACAAGGTATGGGCATTTTGAGTTCCTTGTTATGTCGTTTGGGTTAACAAACGCCCCAGCGTCATTCACGGACTTGATGAACCGAGTATTCCATAAATACTTGGATCGATTCGTGATTGTGTTCATAGACGACATTTTGATTTACTCAAAGAGTGAGGAAGAGCATGAAGAGCACTTGATACTCGTTCTTGAGACACTACGGGAGAAGCAACTTTATGCCAAATTTTCTAAATGTGAATTTTGGCTAAAGGAAATTGGCTTTCTCGGGCATGTGGTTTCGGGATCGGGAATTGCTGTTGATAATAAGAAGATAGAGGCCATTACCGAATGGGAGAGACCAAAGAATGTCAAGGAAATTCGTAGTTTCCTTGGATTGGCAGGCTATTACAGAAAGTTCGTGGAAAAGTTCTCTGTTTTGGCGTCGCCGTTGACGAAGCTCACTCGAAAGGGAGCTAAGTTTATATGGGATGACAAATGTGAGAAAGGATTCATCGAACTGAAGAAGAGATTGACCGAGGCACCGGTACTTGCATTACCCAAACAGGGTGTGGGGTACGATGTCTATAGTGACGCGAGCATCCAAGGGTTTGGGTGTGTGTTGATGCAGGAAGGGAGGGTAATTGCCTATGCTTCACGACAGTTGAAGAAGCATGAGGTAAATTATCCTACCCATGATCTGGAGCTGGGAGCAGTGGTGTTTGCACTGAAGATATGGAGACATTATCTCTACGGGGAGACATGTCACATATACACTGATCACAAGAGCTTGAAGTACGTGTTTACTCAGAAAGAGCTAAACATGAGACAGAGACGGTGGATGGAGCTGATAAAAGACTACCATCTAGTGATAGAGTACCACCCAGGCAAGGCAAACGTGGTGGCAGATGCTTTGAGCCGGAAGAGCTCGTCTGGGGCATTGCTAGCTAATTTGAGGGCATTAAGAGCCCAACTGGAGGTATCCAGCGATGGTGCCTTATTGGCACGATTTGAGGTGAGACCTACTTTACTTGATGAGATCAAGAAGGGTCAGGAAACCGACGAAGAAATTATGAAGATCCGGGAACACATGCAAGCGGGACCGGTGGAGGACTTCAGAGAAAGAGATGACGGTCTCTTATTATTTCGTGACCGAGTGTGTGTACCGGCAGATGAGGAGCTCCGAAAGTCCATCTTAGAGGAGGCTCATTCATCGGCTTATGCCATGCACCCGGGGGGGCACGAAAATGTACCGTGACTTGAAAGAAAGTTACTGGTGGTCTGGAATGAAGAGGGAAATAGCCGAATACATCAGTCGGTGCCTTACTTGTCAACAAGTTAAGGCGGAACATCAGCACCCAGCAGGCTTATTGCAGCCACTTTCCATTCCTGAATGGAAGTGGGAGCACGTGACTATGGATTTCGTGGTAGGTTTACCACGGACAATCAGGAACTATGATGCAGTTTGGGTCGTTGTGGTTAGGCTCACAAAGTGTGCACACTTCTTGCCTATCAACACTACCTACCCACTTGAGAGGTTAGCCAAATTGTATACGGATGAGATCGTGAGGCTGCATAGGGTCCCAGTGACCATTGTATCCGATAGAGACCCACGATTCACATCACGTTTCTGGCCGAAATTTCAGGAGTCTATGGGAACGAGGTTGAAGTTCAGTACTGCTTTCCACCCACAGACGGATGGACAGTCTGAAAGAGTCATACAGATCTTGGAAGACATGCTGAGGGCCTGTGCATTGGAGTTCCAAGGAAGTTGGGACAACCACTTAGCACTTGTGGAGTTTGCCTATAACAACAGTTATCAGGCAAACATCGGCATGCCTCCATACGAGGCATTGTATGGGAGGAGGTGTCGTACACCGTTATGCTGGGACGAGGTTGGCATGGCCAAACTCGAGGGTACTGAGTTGGTTGAGGTCACCAAATCAAATGTGAAATTGATTCGAGAGAGACTCAAAGCGACTCAGGATAGGCAAAAGAGTTATGCAGATAAGCGTCGAAAAACCTTAGAGTTTAAGGTTGATGACGAGGTATTCTTGAAAGTTTCTCCTTGGAAAGGAATCATTCGATTTCAAACCCGAGGAAAGCTTAACCCACGATATATAGGCCCATTCAGAATTATAGAGAGGGTCGGGGCCGTAGCATATCGTCTACAGTTGACTCCTGAGTTGGAGAAGATTCACAATGTATTTCACGTGTCCATGCTTAAGAAGTATGTGCATGATCCTTCTCATGTGTTGGAGAAGCCACCTGTAGAGGTACGTGAGGATTTGAACTACGCGGTTCAACCTATCAAGGTCACCGATAGAAAGGTGAAGAAACTGAGGAGCAAGGAAGTCCCAATGGTTAAGGTACTTTGGAAGAGCGATCGGGTCGAAGAAGAGACGTGGGAAACAGAGGCTTTGATGAGGAAGCAGTATGCTTTCCTATTCGAGTAGAGCTGTGAATTTCGGGGACGAAATTCCTGTTAAGGGGGGGTGAACTTGTGACACCGCACCCGAACGTCCTTGAAAATTTAAATTTAAAAATTTGAATTTTATGTATTGAATTTCTGATTCCCAAACAATTGTGAAACGATTGTTGTTTTACGTAATTAATGATTTATTATTATACTGTTCGAACTCGTGTATTAGTATCGGGCCTTATTAATAAATAAAAGAGCCTAGCATTTTCTAAATAGTGATACATAACGTTTCAAGACAAGTTGAGGAGGGGCGGGCGGCCCAGATATTATTTTGGGCTCAACCCGCTAAAATAGCAAGTATTCGAGAATGGCGTCGTAGGCCCACTCGGGGGTGACCCACACGGCTTGTAGCCCAATAATATGAATACAAATGTCTATGATACCATCTTTGACATTATTGAGCTAGATAATGGGAGTAAGATTTTCCTTCTATAATGTCCATCAAGTAAATTATTGAGATGAGCCTACACATATTGGAGATCAATAATGTGATGTAGGAAGTTGACTTGTTCTAAATAAATTAGGATGAGTACAAAAAGACATCTTTGACAAAAGATAAATTAATAGGACCCATCTTCCCATTTTTGGGAGTATTGGTAGATATTTTGGACCCCAAAATAATTGGGATCAATTGGGAACTACTCCACATGATTTTAGTACCTGCAAGACAAGAAAAATAAGTGAGGAGACTTACCTTGGCCGCACAAGCTGGAGGAGGGCTGCATAAGACTTGATTGGAATCAAACTTGAGACCCACCTTGTCAATTTCCGCACAAATTATGGGTGTGGTTTGTCTCCCTCCTCAAGGGGAGTTGTACTCGTCCAAATGAGCTGTATAAGGTGTCCTTGGATAGCTTTTGAAGTCTATTTTTATAATTGAGTGGTCTCTGTTCAAGAGGAGAGGGTAATCATCCAAAAATCGATCTGGAACGAGCAGTGGTCTGTGAACTCGAGCTGTGAGAGTGCTGAGACTGTTTGGTTGATATCTCGAGTTTTACCAATCCAATTAAGGCGTGTGAGATACCAAAAGAAAGCTCTCAAGACGAGGAATCCGTGAAGGTCTGGTTTGCATCAATCGGAGTAGAGGAAGGCTTCCAAATCGTCCGAGCAGAACGCGACCTCGCAGGGACGGATTTACTCTTCTAAGTGAGTTTTTAATCCCAAAACCTTTCCATTCATTTTCCAAATGATATGAACGATTGGTGGGACTATTATACACTACTCCAAGTGTATAAAACATCCCTATTAAGTTATTTTATTGATGTAAAGGTTAGATACTAACCTAGATGCAAATATTGGAAAACTAGGAATCGAGTTAGCCGGAAAACACCCGTTCTAGGGGCTGTTTTCGTATCAACGATTAGGGGTTGAAATAGCAACTTGAGGAGGCTGTTTAGCACCCATTTCTAAGCAAGGAATCAATTCTCAAGCTTCCTTGGCCGAGGCTTTGGTCATTGGATCGAGAAGGAAAGTTTTAAAGCTCATTTGAGGTGAGGATCGACATCTAGTTGCTTACAACTTGTAGGTTAAGCATGAGATTACCTAAATGCCTAAATAATGTTTTCCATGGATTATGATGATAAACTATTGATGGAATATTGATCTATTTGCCAAAGAATGAAATGGGAAATGATTTGGTAAAGTATTGATAAAAATGGAGTTAAATGAACTATTGTGTGAAATAGGCATTTTACTCATGTGTGCATTGTGTAGATACATAAATGATTATTTATGTATTACATTGAATGATTAAGTTGCTGCTACATATCTCTAAATATGTAGGGTTTTACAAATGGGATATATGATGGATAAGAATAATCTTAATAGTATTGAAATACTAGTTAATGATTGTTGTAATTGTTAAGGAATCGAATCTATGGATTTGATTGAAATTGATGAACTGGATTGTGATGCAAGTGACTAAATTGATGTAATGTGATGCTAAGACCATGGTTGGGCAGTCCGTAAGGACGTCCCGAAATAGATTATTGATATTACAATTCTAGGCATAGTGAGTGCTTAGGAATTGGGGTCTATGCCAATGTAAGGAGATGTACTTGAGCCGTGCTCATAGAATTGCATTGGGTAGACATGATGAGGTGATTGTAGTGCTTAGGAATTGGGGTCTATGCCAATGTAAGGAGATGTACTTGAGCCGTGCTCATAGAATTGCATTGGGTAGACATGATGAGGTGATTGTTGTGCATGGTGATGTAGTCGAGTTGGACTCGAGAATGCAAACATATGTGTTAGGGTTGAACCCTATGTATTGTTGTGACTAGGGGTCACGGGATTTTGGGGTATGTTTGATGAACAAACCTTGGGCCTATGGGCCGACTACTTGACTTTATATATAAAGTAAGTATATTTTTAAAAAGGGGTAACTTGGGGTTGCGGCCTATATTATACTATCACCCTATTTGAGGGTCTTGTGTTTGAAATACTTGTTGTATATCTATTAGATGCCATCCACACCAGCACTTTATAGCCCTATAGAGTGCTGACCCCTTCGGGGGCGTCCCACCACCATTTTTCAGGTTGAGGCTAGAGCTTGCTTCCTGTGCTCGTTGCTCGAGAGATCATCTAGGAGGGAAGACTTGGTTCGTGCTTCCTCCATTCGGTTTTTAAACATTAACAAACATGCTCATGAATATTTTACTATAGAGCCTGCGTGCTCATGTTAGCCACGTGTGGCATTTGTTTTCAAACTATGTTTTCCGCTACGTATTCGATTGCTTATTATGTTGTTTATGGATGGCTTGCGTGTGAGTGATATTCTAGACGCCTTGTATAATATGAACGTGTTGGACTGCGGTTGACTATTCATATTGTACGGCGGGTTGTCGACGTGTCCGGGGAGGTCCGGGGCGTGACAGTTTAGCTCCTCATGTGGAGACTAAACATGAAGAAAATATAAAGAAAGAACTTATCTAGATTGAGCTTAGAAGTATATAGGAATTGGTACATAATTGTGAAGGAAAGGGGGTTTATGTTAGTACCCAACGATTGATAGATTTTGATGATGCCACTATACCAATAAATGAACACCTCCACCACCTAATAAGTCATGACTAATAAAATGTATCAAATAAAGTATACTGGAAACTTAAAATACATTTAGGTAATTTTTGTTACCTTAAAGGACATTAAAGTCCTACCAGTATAACTTTATTTGATACACAAATAAAACTAAGAAGTGGGAAGTGTTGAACAAATGCTCCAAATAAATTTTTGCTGGAAATTCACCAGGGTAATTGTTTTTACCTCCAGTACATAATTTACTTGGTGCACAGTGACATGCAGGGATAAGCCGTATAACAAAGGCGTAAGGCTAAAAAGCATTTAATGCAAGAAATTGTACATGGGTCCCAAAAGGTGATGATGATACACAAGAAGTGATCTCTCGAAGAAGAACTGATCGGCAAAAATTATCTCCTTATCTTGCTCCAACACATGAAGACAAAGAGTACAACTCTTTCAGCGACTACGATCAACTCCTCTCAACCAACGGAGGAGATTGATCTGCTCAAAAGGCCTATAAAATAGGCAGAAGCATGAGTGATAAAATCAAGTTTTTGAGTCATCTAAGTAGAGTATTCACTTCAAACATTCAAGAGATATCTAGCAAAAGAGAAAGTGCATGTTAAACTTTGCTCTCTGCTTAGACTCATGCTTCACTAAGCTCTTAGACTAGATCATACACGATTACACTTTTAGAGCTTAGTTTCTAGTTGGAGGATAGAAATTTTCTTGTAAACAAATTGTTGTAAACACTTAGGAGAACAGTTGTTCGGATCCTAAAGTGTGGTTAGATAGATAGAGTACCTTTTGATCCCCACTGGATCAATTGAGAAAAGTCTAAGGACTGAGTAACTTTGAGTGGTGTTATACTCATCGTGAAAAACCTTCAATCTAGGCCAGAGTTGTCAAGGCTAGATTGGCACTAATTGTATTGGGCTGAATACTTTAGTGGAAATCCATCTGAAATAGGGTGGGACTGGATGTAGGAGGATTACACCACCTCTGAACCAGGATATATCGTGTGTTGATTTACTTTCATACATACAGAAGCACACACCAAACACATCTCACTAAAGGATTGTAGTTTGCCAGCAGCATCCTAAGCAGTAGTCTTCATCGACTGTACTGCTTAGCCTACTGCTTAATAACTCACTCTCCTTGAGAGTGTTTTCCACTAGAAGTTATCTTACACTCAGAAGGTGCCTCAGCAGTACCCTGGTCTTCACCCTCCTGCTGAGCCCACTGCCCATTTATATGTGTCTTTCCGAACGCCATAACAAGCCAGAACAAAAAGCCATCCAAGAGTCATCCTGTTCTTAACAGTTGCCTCAGCAGTAACCTGCCCATCAGTCGACTGCCAACTCAGCAGTTGCCTGCCAGTCAGCAAACTGCCTGTGCAGCAGTAGACTAAGCAGTTACCTGCTTGCCAGTCTACTGCCAAGCCTACTTCCTCTTGTCACCAGTCTAAACATCATCTAAACTAGAAAGTTATCTCACACCAAGTATAAAGAGGTTAAAGACTTCCGCTGTGCATCTATTAATCTCTTAAAAGATTATAGATCAACTCATCTAGAGGGAAAACTTCATAAAGTTGAAAAATATTTAAAAGTCTATTCACCCCCCCTCTAGACTTTTACCTCTATCCGGGACCATCAAGTGGTATCAGAGCGGTGTGTTCCTAGAGTCAGTTTCTGACTATTTTTGAACTAAAGATCCAAATCCACTTTTATCCCAAACACTTTCTAAAAATGGACAGTCAGTTAGCCAAGAATCTTCTGTTCAACTTGAACAAATTTGATGACTGGAAAATACGGATGAAAGCACATCTCAGTGCCTTACATGATGAGATGATTGAAGTAATTACTGATGGACCTATCAAAATAATAAAGGTCATCACATCCAGAACCACAGAAGGGACAAATGATGTGTACATTCCAAAACCTAAAATGGAATGGACAACTGAGGACAGGAAGAGAAACAATCTTGACAACATTGCCAAGGACATTCTCTTCAAATCTGTTGATGAATCTATATTTCCCAGAATCAGGAAATGCGAAACTGCCAAAGATGTCTGGGATGAGCTAACAAAGATTGGAGCAGGGGATGAACAGGAGAAGGACAATAAACTGACCATAGCCCTAAAAAAATTTGAGGATTTCAAAATGCTGTCATCTGAATCTATCCATGAGATGGAATCCAGATTCCTGAAGATTGTGGCAGAGGTCTCTGACCTTGGGAAAGAACTTTCTCAAAAAGAAATTTCCCTTAAAATCTTGAGAGGCCTGCCATCAAAATGGGACATGAAGGTAACTGCTATGAGAGATAGTAGAGATCTCAGAACTTTGTCAACTGACAAACTCTTCAGTGATCTCAAGGCCTATGAATTTGAAATGAAGGAGATCAAAGAAGAGAAGGAAGATGAATACAAGACACTAGCTCTAGTGTCTGAGCCAAGCACTTTAAAATCTGCTGAAAAATCCCTCAATAATCTCCTCACTGACGAGCAGTTTGCTATGTTTGTGAGGAAATTTAAAAGATTCATGAAGAAGGAGGGTACTGTTCCAAGGAGGTCATACAATCAGCCACCCAGGAGACAAGGAAGACCTCAATCAAGTGAGGACACTATTCTATGCTATAACTGTAGACAGCCAGGACATTACAAGAATGAGTGTCCTTTACCACTGGCTCAAAAGTATCAAGGGCAACAGGCAACTGCTCGAAAAGGAGAATACAAAAAGGACTTCAAGGGCAAGAGACAAGCCTTTGTAAGTGAAAAGAGAAAGGACGAATCCCAAAGTGATGATGAGAGCAGCTCAAGTGATGAAAGCTCCTCATCTGGAGACTCAGAGGAGGCACTACTATGCCTGGGATCCTGGAAGATGGCTGAAGAAAGGAGCAGATGGCTCAGCGAAGATGATGAAAACTGCTCCAACAACTGCCTAATGGCCAAAGACCACTACAATGATGTTGAGGTAACATCCTGCTCTTCCTATAGCTCTAGTGATTCTGGACCAACCAATGTCACATTGGAATCTTTACTACAAGATTTTCAGAAAGTCCAAGATCACCATGTTCTCTTAAGATCAGAAAATGATAGATTAAAACAAGACATTAAGGCCATTCATTCCAAGTTGTTAGATGCCTTAACCAAAAACAATGTCTTAGAGGAAGAGAACAAAGAGCTGAAAAACAAAATGACTAACTTCGGCATGAATAGTAAAACCGGTAACTCTACTGCTGAAGTTGTTCTAAATAGGAAGAGAAGAGGGCTCGGATATGTATCCCCCACCAGACTCACTCAAAACTCACCCTCCACAAGCCACCAACAAAATACAAGAAAGCTAATCTACCAAAAATCACATTCTCAAAATGTTCCCATAAGAAGGAACCTGCCAGCTCCCAAATCAAAATCCAATCTCCTGAATAATCAAAAACTTCCCTACCATCAAAACCCAAGAACCCGTTGGCAATCAACCAGTAAGACCAACTACAGTCAAAACGTTAAGCAGTCTCCTCCAAAAGCCAATAATCCATTTTCCACTTCAAGAAGAAAAAGGATTAACAAATACATAGCCATCCCCTATGATTATAATACTTCAGATGGCTATAGACCAATCTGCTTAGAACTAAGTGGTTCTAGATGGGCATGGATGCCCAAACTTATACAAAGGAAGTTGCCCACTAACTTGTGGGCTACTGCTCAACAATGATGAATACAGGAAGGTGCTGGAGCAGTTGACTCACAAACATGGTACATAGATTCAGGCTACTCCAGGCACATGACAGGCAGCAGACGGCTCCTGTCCAACTTTATGGCAAGAGAAGGACCCAAAGTGACTTTTGGGAATGTGGAAAAACAAGGAGAGACCAAAGGAGCTGGAGACCTATCCATCAATGGACTTACAATCCAAAACATATCTTATGTTAAAGGATTAAAGTTCAATCTCATAAGCACAAGCCAGCTCTGTGACAATGGCTATAATGTTACATTCTCCAAAGACATCTGTTTGATTAGAGATGTCAAAAATGACAAAATTGTGCTCACTGGTAGAAGGAAGAAGGACATGTACATTGTTGATTGGAGCTCAGCAAAGGAAGGGATCTGCTTGGTGACAAAGGCAGACTCAAATTTGAGTTGGGAATGGCACAACAAATTAAGCCATCTCAACTTCAAAACAATCAACAAATTGTCCAGAAAAGGATTGGTGAAAGGTCTTCCTGAGATCAACTTCAAAAAGGACCATCTCTGTGATGCTTGCCAAAAAGGGAAACAAACCAAGGTATCATTCAAATCAAAGGAACTGGAATCATCAACTAGGCCCTTAAGCCTACTACACCTTGACTTATTTGGACCAGTTGAACCAACAAGTATAAGTGGTAAAAGATACACCCTGGTGATAGTTGATGATTACTCTAGATACACTTGGACCATATTCCTAAAGAAAAAGAATGAAACAGAGAAGAAACTTCCAGAACTGATGAAACTAATTCAAAATGAGAAAAGTCTCTCAATCCAGAAGATCCGATCAGACAGAGGTACTGAATTCCTCAACTCTATAGTAATTCAGTACTGTAAAGAAAATGGAATCCATCACCAAACTTCAGCTGCAAGAACACCTCAACAAAATGGTGTTGCTGAGAGAAGAAATAGGACTCTCAAGGAAGCCGGAAGGACAATCTTAGAAGCAGCTGGCTTACCCAAAAGATTTTGGGCAGAAGCAATCAACACTGCTTGCTACACCCAGAATAGAAGTCTCATTCATAAGACTTACAAAAAGACTCCATATGAACTATGGAAAGAAAGGAAGCCTAATGTTAGTCATTTCCATGTGTTTGGATCCAAATGCTTCATTCTAAACAATGGAAAAGACTATCTCAAGCCATTTGATCCCAAATCTGATGAAGGAATCTTCCTGGGATACTCAGCAACAAGCAAGGCATTCCAGATCCTCAACAAAAGAACTCTGGTGGTAGAAGAATCA